CTGACAGCTGAAATACCCATGTTGGATCACATCTTGCTGTTATCATCATTCAGTAGTAAGCATTTAATGCTGCTTCTTAAGGTCTTGTTCAGCTTTTTTCGAAATACAGTGGAGTGGTTTTGTGCCCGTTTCGTTTGCCACTAGGAATCTCACGTAGAAATGCGAGCTAGACCTCAATAACTGTACAGCAGGATGGAGCAGTTCGACTAAAGATCTATTCAGGACACTTCCTGAGCTAGTGGTTTATTCGACCAGTCTACACCGCCCCCCTTTGCTAAATCGAAAGTCATGCAATTGATATTGCCTTTGGCTCAAGCTACAAGCCAACTGGTGACAATTCGCAGCAATCTATCAAGAGAACATATCAACTACTGTTGCGTAATTAAGTCTTAAATAGCCACCAAAGTTCAGAATTAACCATTGGGGATTGCGAAGGTACAGCAACTCTACCACTTCTACGTGTGTAACGAGTGTGTTGCTAACGTGCATAGTTTATAGTTTATAGATAGTTTATTTTATGCAGGCTAATAGCATAAAAAGGATGTGGTGGAGCGTACGCGCATTGGTGTCGGAGAGAACTAAAGCACGATTGCATACATTTTGGCAGTTCTGGATGCTGATGCAATCTCGTCAGGTGCTTGTCACGTTCTCTGGCTTTACGTCTTTCTGAGGGGCATTGGCGCAAACAGATTGGAAGGCTATGGTCGGGTGCAGAAAGCCAATATTGACATGACAGAGGTTAATCTGCCATAGACAGAAAAGTCTGCATAAATAAATGCGTAGTTAACCGTTTTAGAGGTCCCCGTACCCTGCCCTTAGATCCAGGCTTTGGTTCGAATGATTCGCAATGCTGGAATGTGTTAAAACACTACAACACCTTTACATCCAAAAACATAATTTGTTTTGACATAAAGTGCGACTCTAGTTGGGAGGGCTATTGTTTTTGCAGATCATACCTCTTGAACGGTCCTTAACCCTGTATTAGCACCTCAAACTACACCAATTCATGCACAGCCTAACGAATGGTGTCGAAATGAATTCATTTGTGGGGGGTACGGAGCTAACCGTAAGGATCCAATAGGAAGTGAGTTAGTCTACCAGGTTTATTTAGTCTTGGAATGCTTACCTTTGCAGGTTATCTCAATAACTCCGCGAACTTCCAAAAAGTCTACAGTTTGAGAGCGAAAAACACGAAACTCAAGCATGCCAAGGGAGGCTGCCACAACCACGGAATGAGTGCTTATGTACCCACTGATGAGCCAACCAAGGTGCATCAGCTGATGTTAACATTAATGTCTAACGCATTAAATTCCCATTGTTTATGCACAAATTTGGTAATGTGTGCAGCACTTGCAATCATTCTCCTGTACGGAAACTTAAACAGAACGCAAATTAGTGGTTTGGGTTTGTAATAAGAAACTAGTGTGTAATACGGAAGATCCGAAATAGGGTGACCTTGAATGGACTGATGAATTTGTAATGTTGCACGAGTGCATGGGTGGTGATGGAGATGGCGAGAGGATATCGTGACGTTCATCAGTGTCGCGCGTAGACCACGCGCGCACATGCACTTGCCAGGTGCATCTGCACCCCGAGTGAAGGCGAGTTGCTCTGCTAAAATGCGTCCGATGCATGTGGACGCGAAAATGGGGTGTGGTCTGTCAAGCGGTTACCAAGACACTGTCAACGTCCCAGTCCATAAAGGTACACGACCAGAGATGTCCTTGCAATAAGAATTGAACGCCGCTAATTTAGGCTGCACCGAGGGTGTTACCGTGTTGAATCCTTGGGGAGGCATGGCGACTCAGCACCATATTCCTTTTGATCCCATACCACTTAGTATCTTTGCACAACCGGTTCATTTCTAGTCTACTCATTCTTAAAATAACTTGTGTGCTTGCTCAGATCCCAATGGTATCTTAGTGGCGCTTTCAATGCTACAGAACCCAACTATTTTAGTGCTCAATCTCATAGGAAAGGGGGTGTAAACGAAACATTGACGAAAACGATGTTCAATTAAGAACCACGTTGACTGCCCGTAATATAATACTAGTTGGCGACCAACGGTTTCTACTTGAGACTCGGTTCGGGAACATGAATCATCCAGAGCTAACACAGTTGTCGACCCATTCATATAGCTTCGCTAATAAACTAGGCTTCGTAGGCAGTTAGCCTACCCCTTTCCACTCAAATTAGCAACCGACTCCTCTACATTGGACGACCGAGGTAGTCAAAATTGACCTTACATCGTCGTACACCTAAAGGCAGCTGTCAGACCCCAATGGACCCATCTTCCATCTTTCATGAATAGAAAATGAGAGAAGCTTTGGAATCACAATGGAAGCTGAGAGCACAGCATTCTGTAGAGCTCTGAAATTTGACGTGATGATGATGCGTGGCTTTAAATGCCCTGATGGTTGTATCACTACTTGCTTACCCTCTAGAGGTTGGGGCTTAAACCATGAAACACATGATCGTGTCCAGACAAAGTAGTGTTTAACCTAGGAAGAAACTAGTACATGGCTTCTACCACAGTCTTGAAGAGTGGCTTTCAATGCGGCAATCTGATGTACAGTGCCAGGTCGTCTCGTGGAATGTACGATCTAGCTGAACTCACTGAGGAGCCTAGACGCAAAAATACAGGTGAACACAGTATTTTCATAGTCGTTTCTTTGTCATAATGCTCAACCATTAAAACTTCAGTTTGCTAAAGATAAGTAACAGAGCCAATCATCAATGAGTAGGTGCAGAATGGGAAGCTGTCAGCAAAAGAACATTAAAATTTCATTAGCCTAAGGCGTCAATTGCTGCTAAATCAAGGATAACACAGATCATCAGTTCAAAAGTAGGCGAGCGAAAGTGCAACGCCATCAAGGGACGTGAGGTGGCATTCTGCGCACTGAGAACCAGGTCCTACGACTTCGATTTGATCTCCACCGTCACCATAAATAAGGCCTCAGTCATCTGGCCTTCATTGTGGCGATTCCAAAAAGCGCTACAGCGGAGTGATCCAATTGAAACAATTCAAACTACTTATTCAAGTGCAATAGCCAAGATCAGAAATTGACCCTTCGTTAACTGAAAGCTGAAAGCAGCTCTCCTCCTCTCTGCCAGAAGACTACAGGTGGAATCATTAAATGCGCTTACACAGACGCAGAAGACTTATTCAATTATAGAGTTCTTTCGATATTTTATGCGATTAACGATGAAGTAGAGTTATATGCTTGGGCGCAATCATGATGTTACAAAATCTTGTACCCATATAAAATAAGTAGACATTGCGAAATATGAACTTTATTAGGAAACTTGTTCGTGATGAGGCAGGATTACAAATCAAAGATAAAAGTAAAAATCTGCTCACTTAGCAGTCACCTTTTTCTGCCAGGCAACCAACAGCTTGGAGATGTCGCGTGTCTGAGAAAAAGAACATAGCCATCGTAAGGTTGTATAAAAACCGTTCAAGATGACCTAACGAAAAAAATCTTTCATACAGATAAGGAAAGCACGCTCAGTGGAGATGTCACAGCCCTACATAAAATACCAGTGGGAACTGAAAAATTCATCACCAATGGTAATAAAGTACATCAAAAAATGGGAAAGGGATCAGATTAAAGGTAAAACTGACCTCAAAAACATGACGTTTATAACACTAAATTTGCGCATGCAAATATAGGGGTTTTATGCTACAAATTAGTGTCAAGGCGAGATGCAGTGCCGACACCACACGAAGCGGTAAGCAGGTCGAGGGTCCTTTTACTAATAACCATGGTGAACGCAAATTAAGGCAGCACTAGCTAAGGTGGCAAGCAGTAGTCATAACGTGTGCACGGCACCAGTGCAGCGTATGGTGATTAAGTCCCCTGTGAACGAAGGCGCAAAATATACGAGCATCTATGAAAACTTTCAGGCAATGTTTAGGAAATCCAATAGTCTAGTCTAGTCAAACGTTTGACTGCATGGCTGCAAATGAGGTTTATGTGCCACAGACCGTGAGACAAGCAATCCGCTTTAGGACGGTTTTGCCACGATGACCACCTCTTGCTTGAGGAAGCACCATTACGAGCATTTTTTAAATAATAAGAGTATGCAGTAAAAGACCCTGGCTAAGAAATAGTGCTGCATCCACTAACTGTAAAGACAGTTATGGCGAACGGTGATTAAATGCTGAAAACTAACCGTATTCGCATAAGTCTCGAGAATTTGGCTAGTTTCTTCGATAAAATCTGTTGTTTGCACCTCCTGCTGTGCATGCTTTTGTTGCATGGCGGCAAACTTCGCCTTCAAACCTGACAGATCTGAAAGTCAAGAAGAAAAAGTAAAATAAAACCAAATAACCGACAATAGCCTGGAATATGAGTAGAGTATTGTAATATACTATAAATGCTCCTAACAAACAGATTGAATTTTGGGAGGGTAATTGACCAGATACAAGTCAATGGGCGAAGTGGGACGAAAGAATTGCCTTGAATGTGAGTTGTTTTACAACAAGGTCACACCATGGAGTGATGTGGCTCTTAAAATAATTTCGCTTCAAGAAGAAAACAACATACTTTTACGCGTAGATAAACGAGTTTTCCCATGAAATACTTTGGAAAGACTAATAGGTTAAAAGGACTTTTGTAAATTTGATTTGTTTACGTAGTAGTAAATTCAATTTATACTATTTACAAAATGTACAAATCAGGGTAAAAGACATGCACAGTACTGAGGACATCGAATAACCAAATAAATTAAAGCAAAATTTTAAGAAACGGGCGATGGATAACTTGCAAACCACTAGTAAAACGCCTTTACAGAGGATCACGTCTACGACCTCACTCATTGATAAAAAGCATCATTTCTGTTTATCAAACAACCAAGGCAGAAAGTCCTACCAAAAAGTAACAAGATGAAGACACATCGAGAGTGGACGATGGTAGGGTAATTCGGGTAAAAGTGAATTATTTTGATATGAGATACTGAGGACTTCGAAATCACATTAGCGAATAGAGGAATAGGAAGTGGATTGATACTTTGGAAAATAAGTTTAGAAATGCAACAGTCTTAACCTATTGTATGTGATCTGAAGAGTGAAAATAACACCGCTAACGGCTCAACATATTCATCAATGACAAGAAAATGGTCGAACACATTATTCACACACCTAATCCAGCGATTTAAACCCAAAGAAGATGCTTCCATAAAAACAGTTTGATTTGTGGTAAATCAGCGCCACCAATACGGACTCCACGGAATTCCGAAATTAATGTCAGCCAAAAGGAATAAATAACCGACGTAATTGAATAATTACCCGAATAGGCAGGATGATTGAGCACAGACTTCAAAGACTGGAGAGCCTCCAAGGCTTGGGCGGTTCGCAGTATTTCAGTCTCAACTTCAAAGGTAAAAGGCATGTAACTTTAGAAAAAATATTAGACGAGATTAATGAACCTCAAAACTGAATAGCCTTGTGGACACGGAACAACACAGTTATACATCCCAGTAACGGAATGTGGGTTTATTAAATCATGTACAGACAAACTCATCAGTTTCAGAAGAAAAAATATTAAACTGTATTTGTTAAAAATGCATAAGGTATCATACACAGGGATACCATCTGTGCTGGCAAAAGGGTTAGAAGCCACAGGAACAATTTTGCAACGATATTTTCCCCAGTATTCGAAACGATGTCACAATAAAGAGACTTACGTGAGAGAATAATCTTGATTTTTGTTGCATTAGCCACTGTCTGATCATCCAGAAAATTAGGATCCATGTATTTGCGTAATTCACTACCTAGAAGGGCCGCGTTACGAATAAAATAAATAAAACAGCCACATATATAAACAACAGAATAATAAAGGTAGAAATCACATATGCAGCCAACGAGTGAATGACCAGTAACCATATTTTGCAAGCGCCAATAAACTGGAAGTCTATCCTAGGCCACGAGGAAGAAGGGAACCAAAACAAACGTTATGAACTTGGCTAGTAAAAGGATATAGAAGCTCACTTCTCTCCAAAATCTCCTTAATTTTCGGGTATTTCTCCGCCAGTGTTAGCTGTTTTTGAGCATTAGCTATCAAATCCGATACGGTCTATTAGATAAAGGTTAAACATTAATAAGTAAAGCTTAAGCTAAACGTAATCAAAGCGTATCGATGTGCAAAGAAATACCCTCACTCCTACATAAGCGCAAAACTACAAAAAAAAGCATAAAATACCACAAAAGCTCTGGCTCATTAAGGAAAATGTTACGCCAAAGAGCCGTCGAAACTACAACGTATCGATGAACAAACATTCAATTGGCTTAAACTACCTGGGTAGATGATGCTTGAAGGGATATGGCCGAGGCTCCGAGAACCAGGCGTTCCAACTCATGTATGCGACTTTCAAGAAGGTCTAGGCTCATCTAAAAATACATCGCGTCAGTATCTGCAATCGAAAATAATACCACAAAAGAAAAAATCGACATGATTGAAGATTCTATTCATGCAGCAATGCTACATTGAGAACGGCAGTAATTAAAACTTGTTGCTTGGCTGAGGATTACGCAGAGGCTGTTTCTTTGCCCCAAGATCGACGAAGGAATACTTCGAAAATCCATAGTATTCTTGAACCTTGTAGGGAGAAGATTCCGTGGCAGCAACTGTAAATCGAGAAGAGCCCAACACATCATTCGACTTCGATTTCACTGGGATGTTCGTTTGATGTTGATGACATCGAATGAGAGGGATCTTGTAGCAGTTCACTTTGCTGAGCTGAAACAGTGTCTAAGAAATTGCGTATTGAAAACACATACCTGGAGGAACGGATTTAGAGCCTGTGGTGCATGCGAGTCCCGAACAAGAAAAAGAATAGTCAGCAGAACGAAAAAATCACCAAGCTTCACAAAAATGAATGAAGAATAAAACCAAAAAATTTATTAGGCACTTTGTACAGATACAAGTCACTAATTTAAAGAAGTAAAGTTGAGTCACCATAAATACGATAACGATATGAGTTTCTTCATATCTCTAATGCCCAATTTGTATTTGTAAGGCGCAATTGATTCAGCTTTTGGCATACTGACTGACATATCTTCTGACCGTGCGTTTAAAGGATTCTGGATCACGGACATACTCTTCAGCAGCACTTGTATTGAGTGCATCATTGAAATCACAGAGATCAGAAAACAATGACTCTAATCCCCATATCACTTCTGATAACTTCCTGGTAGGAGCCCATCCTGAAGCATCAAGCGAACTTGGTCTCAAAAGACTAAGGCAAATTCGTCCTTCCTCGTCAATATTTGGATGCCAGATTTTGGTAGTACACTTTACAATTGGGGGAACATGATTATAACCTTCAGGGACAGTGAATTCAAAATGAAAATGACCCTTTGCCCAGAACCCCTCGGATGGAGAGATAATTACTTCAAATTCATGAAGCTTATCAGGGTCGGGATAACGCAATCGACAGTGATTCGACAAATTCGATTTCAAGTCCGTAAGCTCCTGCGCCAAAAGCCTATCACGGATGGAAGCACTCCTTATAGAGGGTGAGGAAACCGAATCGGGTTCGTTTGAAACCTGACCCTGCTGTCTTTGGCGAATCTTATCCGCCAAACGAAACATATTTACTAAAACTACCGGCTTACATCAGAGGTGGGAAAAACAAGAATAACCAATGGAAATCAAAGGTTCCGTGTTTGAACAACTGCATGCAACTGATACCAGTGCGCCAGGAAAGTAAAATATTTCCCAAGCTTATACAAAAAGTAATGCGCTAATAAGCGCAACATTTCTGTTTATAATGTGAGATTTACAAAAATTAATTTGGGTACCCACTATCCAAAAGGATTTGCTCAAGTTCCATCCAAAATTTGTTGAACATTGCGATTGAAGGGAGGCATAACTTTGTAAAAGTTGCAGAAAACATTCCCATAAGATGTCCTGTCTCTATATTTGCATATTTTATGGCCAGAAACATGTGCATAGAATCTTATGGTGAGTAGTTGTAATGCACCAAAGCTGTTGTTTTAATCGACTTGTAGGTCAGAGGTTGGGTGTACAGAAAACGTTCCACTGCTAGGAAGGGTCCTCGCTTCTTGAGACCCTTCCAGGGTAGGATCGCCTTCT